CAGTCGTTAAGCAAAGCAGTCACTAAGGGAAGCTGCAACTGTGCTGATTAGCTTACTTCAGCTTTCCTTTGCTTTATAGACCTGCAAAGGTCATAAATGTGAGGCTTGGTTGCAAAGTTACTTTTTCATTGCCATCGTAACTGCAAATGGTTGCTAAACGAGGCAGTTGCTAAATGAGGACTACCTGTACTTCTGAGTAGACATAATGGGTTTAAAGGACTGTAATATCAGATGCATATATCCATGGTCAGTTCACACTTAACACCAAGCCGTAGCAGAGTTGCTTTTAATTGGTTTACAATTATATTGTATGTGAACCATTCTGAGTAGTTCAGAATACCATTTTCCAATGCACATAAAAAGAGGGTGAAGGCTTTGATTGCATGGTTGAATACCATGTTGACTTTTTTGACTCCTTTCCTGTGGACACTCATGGACTTAATCTGGTGCATAGGGATAATTAAGAACACTGAGTAAAGATACTGATATGTTTATAGTAGAAATAGGGACTATAATAATATATATCTTATATTATTTAATTGTTTAAATGACCCCCCCCCCCATCTTTTAACAAGTTCACGCCCATTTGTTAACTGCAGAGGTAAGGATTGGGTTTGATTTTCAGGGTCTCTTGGCAGATATGCCCTCAACTCACATCATACCTTATCTTCTGGTGCAATATGTGATACAATAACTGTCAGAATTCTCATCAATGGGCATGCTGGCTGTGGAGTTCTGGGATTTGAAGTCCACACACCTGGAAATTGCCAAGGTTGGAAAATATTTATCATGTGACCTTATTCTGGAACTTCCAAGAATTTGTAGAAAGGGACCTATAATTATATTCATAGATTGCCTGAGCAAGTATTGTGACATACTTATCAGCGATTTTAAAGATGGATCTACAAATCTGTACTACTTCTCCATAATACAACCTATACCTTATTTTATGACTGAACCAGGATATACTGAACTTATTAATAACATATTTTTGATTAACCATTATGGAAACCAACCCGGAGTTCAATCTGTCAGCTAGTGGAAAGCTTCCGTAGATGACATCAACTTATTTTGCTATTAGTCACTATTTCATGATAAGAACAAAATACTATATTTTCCAGTGACAGAATAGTGAAAAATTTGAAGAGCAAAATATATTGCTATTGCAGAAGCTTGCTTTCTGAAGCAACAGAAAACGTATTTAAGTTTAAGAACTCTTAGTATAACTATGATTATTTCATCAAATGAATAGGAATCCCCAAAATCTACTGCAATATTTTATATATATCAACACTTCATCAGAGTGGGTACAAGAAAAAAAAAGAAAGTAATGGAAAAAAAGAAAAGAAAAAAGTTACAAAGAAGTAGCTTCCAATTTTCTTCACAGCAGTTATAAGTACAGCTATAAGTTTTCCTCTTATTCTATGGTTACAACATACCTCTCTTCTTTCTATAATCTATTCTGTCTAATCATCAGAAACATAAATCATACGTTTATTTAACAAACAACTTAGACAAGGGCACAACTTTAGTAACAGTTTGGGATACAAGCAAAGCTTTTATTAGAGGCTATTTTATTCAACATAATATTGAATTGAAAAAAAAAAGCACAAGAGAAAATACAGGCTATTTTGCAGGAGATTAAGAGAAAAGAGGAAGAATTAAAGAAATTGCCAGCATATTTCTTTTGGGGCTGATGGATAAACAATTGGACTCATGGATCTTTGTTTTGTATATAACTGCAGTGAGACTTTTATGCTCAATGGTTGAAAGACTCGATACTATCTACAATGGAAGAATGGATGGTAAAGTTGATGGAGCTGGCTGAGATGGTGAAATTGACAGCTTTGATTAGAGAAAAGACATTGACTGATCTTACTGCTAACTGGAAGCCCCTTTTGGACTTTTTGTGGGAAACAGAAAAAAATGAAATTATGATATATGGATTTGATGATTAGTAAAATTA